TAGTCATTTCAGACTGTAGTCATTTCAGACTGTAGTCATTTCAGACTCCTAACAGAAAGTGAGCTGCAAAAATTGCTACAGGAGCACAGACATTTTGATTCCACTCAGACTAAAGAGAATAAAATGTAATATCCGGGTGAACTGCCAGTTTTTATTTGAATTTGTCAGTCCTTAATGTAAAAAAAACCCACATCTCGTCCACATCTACAAACTTTGTGATCCTTTAAAAACTGTCGGTTTAGCAGGAAGGAAGACAGTTATTTAACTCTGTTTCAATATTTAACTCTGGGTTCAGTTGGAAACAATCAAATGACAAAAAAAAAACCATGTTAAACCTTTTATTAAATTATCTGGCAACTTGGCAGTGAAACAAAAGCTTTTCAAGGAGCTATGGCAACTAGAGAAACAGAAAAACAGCTGAAATTAGCTAAAATATACTGAAATGTAGCTGAAAGGGAAGAACGAGCCTTAATTAGCAGAAGAAAGCAGAAAGAACACATATTTGTTGACTTAGGTTTAAATAAGCAGAAATTAGGAAATTAGCAACAAAAACAATTGCTGAAAACTAGCTGAAAAGGCAGAAAGAATCTTAAGCTACCAGAAGGAAGCGGAAAGAGTGGAAATGAGCTAAAAAAATGCAGAATTAGCTGAAAATACTAAAATTAGCATAAAAACAGCTAAATAGAAGCTGAAATAGCAGAAAAGGCTGAAACTAGCAGAAAAAGCTGAAAGGAGCATAACAAGCTGAAATTGCCATAAATACGTTAATTAGGCTGAAAGTAGCAACAATTTCCATAAAAAACTTGAATTTATCTAAAAAAAAAAACCCTGCTGAAATTAACTAAAACTGTTAAAAAGTAGCTGAAAATGTAGAATAAGCTTAAACTAGCAGAAGAAAGCAAAAAGAACATGTTTGCTCAATTAGGCTGAATATAGAAATGAGCACATAAAGTGGAAATCATATGAAAAAAGTTTAAATTAGCAACAACAAAAATAAAAAAAAACGTTTTCTATAGCCCCTCTTAGGCACGGTTCGACTCGGCTCGGTACGATTCCAAGGCTTTTTCCACTAGCAAGTTTTTGTGGAACTGGCCAGAACTCCTACTTGAAAAGAGACGTGGGGTCTCCTAACAGCCGAGAGAACAGTTGTCCGCCACGTTAATCCCAAAAGGTTAAAAGGAGAGGACACCACCTGTTAGAGCTCAGAGTATGTGTTGGTGATGACTTTTAACTACCACCTCACCAAACAGCTTATTATCTATAAAGCTCACTGACTTAAAACATTTTTTATGTTTTCTAAGGTTAACCTGTGGCAGCCATCTTGAATCTGGTTGGCTATAGAAGTTAATAAGTTGTTGCGTCCAATGATTACTTCCTAAGCGTTTTATTCCCGTGCCTGCCTGTCGTAGCTGTGGGGGAATAATTAAACTTAACCAGTCTGAAAAAAGTGTGCAAGTAGAAAAAGCTCATTGCGTTTTTTTAAGTAATACATCGAGTGCAGTGGTTATTATCATAATTTAAATAATAAATCCCCGACATCCTAATTTACTCCGCAGGCTTATCCAACATATGTGTGTGTTAAACTCTAAAGACAACTAAAACCTTGATATGACTGACCTCCATATGCTCAAATTTATTATTCATTACATTAATCAGCTGGCATTTTTATAATATCAGACATTTCCACTGAATGTTTTAGTCAAACTCGGTTCCAAACAGTCAAAGTGTGTGAGCAGCTGATAGCAGAAAGCGGATTAGAGTTTCTGACGGGCCTACCTCGGAGTTCCTCTCCGGCACACGACTCTCCATGATCTCATAAGCAGGATCGGCTCTGCGTCTTTCTTCTTTCGTATTAAACTTTTTGTCTGGTTGGAGAAAAATATGCACGTTCTTAATCCAGAAAACAAGCAGTAATGTTTATGTTAATAACCAGTTAAAACCAAATTTTGAGAACCAAATCACAATGGGACCGATTCACTAAAACACTGTGCAAAAGGAGAGGTGAGCCTCAAACTGTGCTGCCAATCAAACAGCATCTTTTTGAGCTGGCAAATTTTCCTACATATATTATTATCATTATTATTACATAAACGTATTATGGAAATTACTCTCAGGGCAAAGAAGCACTTGTTTTTCAAATGTTAATGCAGTTAATGTGAAGGTTTTTTTTTTTTTTTTTTTTTTTTGAGAAATTGTAGAAATTGCAACTAAGAAGTAAGTAAATTAATGTAATGAACTATACTGGAGTGCTACCTTTACAAAAAGAAGGCATGCTTGCCAGGAACATCCATTTTGTTGGTTACAGGATACTCACTGACAATAAAGGTGACACTTTCTCTTTTCTATTCTATCTGATTATTTAACCTTGTTGCAAATATAGCTGTAGTCTACAAAAAAAGGGTATAAAAATGTAATGTCATAATTTTACACCGATAAATGACTTTATAGTGTATTGTGATTGAACAACATTTTGGTTCACATATAAAATTTAAATGTTATATATTTAACAAGCTTAAGTTCAGCAAGGTCTAATTAAAGGAAAATTCATGTGCGTTTCACATCATTTGTTAATTAGGAAACAGAACATTGTTTTTTGAAAACCAGGTACTTATATAGGTAATATACTTAAACTTTGTTTTTATAGCTAATTTTATTTGACTAAAAACATACAACGTAATATATTTAATGTTCTGCACTCTTTAATAGTGCCTGTTTTTGTTTTAGTGCCAAATTTTGCTGGGCGATTAATTGTCTCAGAAATTATTGTGATAAACGATAATATTGTTTGAAATTTGACAATAGTTAGTAATTATTGTCACATTTAAGAAGAAATGTTTGTTTATTTGTTTTGCATGTAGTAACTTTTTTGACCACTGGATGGTAGTATAAAACTGTTTGAACTGAAGGATAGATAGTGAGGGAGCGAGCAACATCTCTTTAAGAAAAATGGGAGGGAGGCCCCTTGACATATCATGGGCTGTCTCTCTTCGGTTCTCAAAACGGCGAATGCTCGTTGTGGTTTGAGCTCATTAGCATAGCATTTTTCACACAAAGCTTTTAATATAAAATCAGTAAACAAGTTCTCAGTTTCTTTTTGCAGAGAAAAACTTTTTACATGAAGACACAGGTTTCAACCGTGAATTTTGGAGCTTCGACAAGACAGAGGGTTTTTTTTCCCGATTTTGGCCTGTTACTTTAGCTCGTAGCTTAGCTTCTCAGCTTAGCTGCTTTTAATGAACCAAAAACACGATTTTGGACGGTTAAAATGGATTTTAAAGAGAAAGGGAGAGATCAGTGAAGAGCACCGGAGTTGAGCCTTTTGTCATCCAGTGTCTTCCATACTGAGCGAGACACGAAGAAACGATAAAGCCAATAAATGAAAATGAGGTCAATAATTTTCATTTATCATACAATTAATGGATTTATTGTTTATCACGACAGGCCTAATTAATTTACCTCATAGAACTTGCAGCATAAAAAGGCTGCATCATTTAGAATGAGCTGGTGACAGGAAATGATACAAGCATGCTGTTAGAGATGTTCAACATGGAGTTCAGTGTTAATTTGGAGACATATCCTGTGAGAACAGTCATGCAACTTTCATCTTCATAATAAGGAAAGTTGTTATATTCAGGACAAACGGGTACACAATGATGAGCTCAGACTATACCGATGCTGTTAGAAGCTACAAAGGTGCAGACTGTGTGACAGAACAACTCTAAAATTGGACTCCAAACAGTATTGTGCAGCAATGTTCATTGATTTAGCAAAAGCGTTTGACTCATTTGATCATTCTATCTTACTGAAGCAACTTGATTGTATTAGAATTTCATGACAGTCAATAACATGGTTCCGTACTTATCTTTCAAATAGGTCGCATCAAGTGAAGGTTGATTCTAATACTTCACAATTTCTTTCGATTATGTCAGGTGTACTTCAAGGCTCAATTCTTGGTCCAACTCTTTTCTCCATATTTATTAATGATATCTCACATTCTCTCAGTGATGCCTCCATCCATTTATATGCCGATGACACCGTTTTATATGCTTGTGGTTCTACTCTGGATGAAGTTATGAAGTCCCTTGCATGTGGTTTTCTTGAAATCTAGCAGACATGCTTGTAAGGGTGTCCTTCGTAAAGCCAAAGCCAGACTTGGTCTTTAGAGTTGTTCACCACAAACACTGAGAGGACCGGGTGTTATACTTTGAATCCAGTGCTAATTGCAGTAGATGAGTTAAATACGGAGGTGAATAACCCAGCAACGTCTTATAAACGAGGGTAAACGAAGGAATTTCATGACGAGTATGTAGAGAAGACCATTTAACAAGAGAGTAGAGGTGACAATGATGTGTTCTATAAGGAGCATTTGTAACAAAGTGAATAGCAGAGTGATAAATTGTGTCCAGCTTTGCAAAGGACACCCTTACAAGCATGTCTGCTGGATTTCAAGACAACCACATGCAAGGGACTTTACAACCTCATCCAGAGTAGAACCAAAAGCATAAAAAAATAGTGTAATTGGCAAATAAATGGATGGAGGCATCACTGAGAGAATGTGAGATCATTTATAAATATGGAGAAAAGAGTTGGACCAAGAATGGAGCCTTGGGGTACACCTGACATAACCAGAAGAAACTGTGAAGTATGAGAGTCAACGTTCACTTGCTGCGGCCTATTCGAAAGATAATTTTGGAACCATGTTAGTGGCTGTACTGAAATTCTAATATGGTCAAGTTGCTTCATTAAGATGGAATGATCAAGTCTGGCTTTGCCTCCGCTGCTTCATCTGACTGGAATCTGCTTCAAAAACTTTGGATCTAACCTCACTCATCTTGGTTTCTAGTTTTAAAAATAGTTTAAAAGCCGTGTTTAAAGATACGTGCAAATGTTTTCATGCTTTGTTGTCGTCCAACTTTGACAACGAACTGTTGTTAATGTGATTTCGTTGTCTGTTATTGACTATTATTTGTTATTTTATTGTTTCGCCTAACTGTACTTTTTCCCTTCCCTTGACCCTACAAGTACCTGCTGGTGCTGCCAGGTTAGCACTGTTAATACGAATGAGTTTTTATGGATGGCTTTTATGCCTGGTTAAATAAAAGTAAAATTTATTATTTTATTTTATTTTATTTTTGCAGTTATGTACGCAAATGTGTTGGAGTGCCAAATCAGTGTTCTTCCAAGTGAAATTTTGCTTTTTTGTTTTTGCATTATTTAGTCTCCAGTTTACAAAAGCACAACTTGTAATTCATGAACCGTGTTGACGCCTATTCTGTAACCTTCAAACAGAAGAACGTGTTATTCTGTGTTATTGCTAGTATCACCAAGCCCCCTGTGAATAGCAAGCGGCCATCAGGGCACTAACGATCAATTGTTAGGCTGGTGGTCCTCCATGTGAACAGCTAGTTCTGGATGTCATAAACAAACTGGTTGATCCACTATGAGAAAGTGCTATATATAAGACTGAGTTTATTACAGCTCCTCAGACTGAAGAAGTCTTTTGGATAAAAGACAAAACGTTTCAACAATTTTTTATATATATATATTTTTTTATCCATCCAGAGGACCCGACTTAACTTTGTTAGATTATTCTGTGAACCTCTTGTGATTGCAAATGGTCTATTATCATGTAAGAAAGTAGTTCAGAAAACATTAAAGTAGTTCTGTTAGGAGCCCTTTAGAGGCGTCATTTAAAAAAAAATGTGATCATTCACCTGAAACCAGCAGCTAACTTCTTCAGATTTGCAGTAAGTTCACGTTCAGGTATAAACAACACAACAACAGCAACCATCACTCAGTGCAGACATGAAACAAGTATTTGATTAAACACAGAAAAAAGCCAGAAGTAAGTGGAAGTCTACTGATGAAGAGGAGGTCACAAAGGATAAAAAGAAGATCCACGACACCGAGCTCTGGTTTGTAGTCAGGTGTCTCTTACCTTCCTTCACCACTGAACCGTTCCCCTCTTGGTACTGATGCTGCCCTTCAGCAGCTCTGTGAAGCTCTTCATCACGATCTTGGCATCTCCTCAGGTGCAGTCCACTTGGTAAGGGCTGAGAAGAGGAAGCGTTCCTGCTCCGGTACGCCTCAGCAGGCACGACCTGCGGTGGGGGTTGGCAGCGCTCTCCTTGACACTTCAAACAGTTTTCATAAACGACAGCTCTTTTGTCTGGCTCTGACTCCAGTAATGGGCCAGCCGGTGCCAAATGGAGCTCATTTCTCAAAGCGGGGCTCATTGACTCGTACGGGTTCGGTCTGTGCGGTCTCGGCTCTGGCTGCCCGCCTGCGATCGGAAAGCTGAGCAGATCAGATAAAAGGCCGACCAATTTGTTCTCCTCTTCTGGCAGCGTTGACTCCTCGCCCGTCTTCGTGCTCGGCAGCTCGGTGCCGTGTCCAGGAGAGGGCCGAGACCTCTGCAGACGTTTCTTCACTGCAAAGGGTGCGTCGCTGCTAGATTATTGGGTTTTATCTTTTTGCAACATGCTTCAATTCTTCTGTTCATGCATGGACGGGGCAAAGCATGCAAAGTGCAAGGAAATGCTCCAGAGTGTTGTTCTTACCTGGTATGGTTGGTGTGAGTGAAGAACTTAAATGAGACGATTGAGTTCTCTGGGAGGAAAGACAAGTTAACAAACTTAAAAATGATTCCACCAGTGTCGATTATCGTTTAGGCATTGATCAATAAAATACTGGGAACAGTTTAGAAGCTGAAATATCAGTTTAAGTTGTGAAAATGTTCATTGTCTTATATCAATTCAAAATTATGACCACTGAAAGACTGCGTGGTGAAATAAAATACAGTAGTCCCTCGATACTTCGCGGTTCGACTTTCGCTGACTCACTCTTTTGCGGGTTTTCAACGTAAGATTGTACACGACACACGATTGGCTGATTGATGGAAGGCGACCAACTAGAGCATTGTACCGAGGGGCGGACTGGCCATAAGGAGCACCAGGACATTTCCCGGTGGCCTGGCCCGCTCAGTGATCGCCGAGGGGCCCCCTCCTTTCTCTTTCTGAGGCTGCCTGTCACATCAGAGCAGAGACACACAACAGGTGGGCGCGCAACCTGTTGTGTGTCTCTGTTCTGTTTCATCCTCAACAAAAAAAACAAAAACTGTCCAGATGACCTGACTGAACATTGTTGGATTTTTTTTTTTTTTACCTGGATGATTGAGCATGAACTTTGATGTCTTGAACCACTTTGGCTGTGGCAGCTTGGGAGGAGTTGACGTGGGAGAGGACGGACCCCAGAAACCATCATATCATCAGCAAACGGGTTGGTCCACTGTAGGAGTGCACTGCTTAGTGGAGAAAACCGTTTGTTTGTGACTCCTCAGACTGATGACGCCCTTCGGATGGAGGGCGAAATGTCTCTCAACAAAAAAAGAAACTGTCCCGATGACCTGACTAAACATTGTTGGTTTTTTTTACCTGGATTATTGAGCATGAACCTTGATGTCCAAAAGACATTCAACAGTTAAAAAATAAAGCACTTAGAACAGTGGTCCACTGGGTACGACACCACTAATGACTGAAAGGTTTAGTTTTGACAAAGCTTTAGATTTTGGCACTGCCGGCGCCCCGTTGGAGCTGAAAGCAGACAATAAAACTTGACTCTAGAAGAAGTAGACTGTAGGTGGTAAATTTTCTGGCATAGATTCAAGTTCTCTGGACCCTGCCCTCCCACCTATTGTTTTCCTGGGGACTCTTTTTTAGTGGGAGCTCTCTTTAGCTTGTTTAAAGAAATGCTACAACTACTACTAATAATAACAATGTTAATAATACTGTATTACTAATAATAATAATAATAAAGAATATGTTGACCGAGTTCATCAACAGGAAGTAAAACTCAAAAGTGATAAGGTATTAAAATAAATTAAATGTTGTTTTGTTTTAAATACACTTTAAAACAGTGGCTCTCAAACTGGGGTCCCTGGACCCCCGGGGGTTTGTGAGCCAGTGCTTGGGAGTCTACAAAAATTATTATTATGTTTTTTACAGGAACATAGATGTTTAACAACCTGTTAATATACACCAAAATGCAGGAAGTCATGTCTACTTTTTTCAAAATTTTCTAGGGGAGGACCCCCAGACCTTACCACCCCACCTGCTACTTGCGTTCTGGCATTGATCGGTTTACAAATGAAGTCCTGTTACTTGGTATGAATGACTACTGCTGTTATGATTCTGTTCACTTTTCTGTAATAATTTGAGCAATGTTCCTTAAGTGAACAGGTAAAGTTTTAAAGTGGTTTTTAAATCTGTTAATTTTCTCTAAACTGTAATTTTTATAAATTGAAAATAATTTTTTTTTTAATTAAGTGTGTCTTGAATGAAAAGTACCCCATGTTTAAAAGCATAAAAATTGTACTAACACTATTAAAGAACAGGTCTTAAGTATTTATGTTACACAAATATTTCCATTGAATTAAAGAGACAAACTGAAGAAAATGATTTAATAAACATGAGGTTATGAGGGGGTCCCTGAAACTTTTTCTCCTCTGTAAGGGGTCCCTGAACCATAAAAAGTTTGAGAACCCTGCTAAAGAAGTCAAAGTGAGACAAGAGTGTAAACGTGCTGTAATCACTGGATGACACTAAATTGGTTGCCATGGTAACTCGTGACACAGATGGACTGTGGGACTGCTTGCTCTGCCACCGAATGCAGAGAGGCATCACCGTCAGCACGCACAAAAACCACAAAGGTCATTTTGACAGTAATCCACCCGGAGCAGACGATACTCTGCTGATAAACCCGGAGCACACAAGACTGAGGTGATGGTTCATATGACACTTGGAAGCAGGGGGGGGCTCCATTTTTAAATGTTTAATGTGAGTTTTAAATTACTTCTTTCCAAGAGACATGCAAACATGAACAAAGAGTCTTTTATTTACCTTTAATCCTCCACAGGCCGAGCAGATGGTCACGATGGTTTTGGAGGTAGATGTGAGAGGAGTGCAGGTCTGACAGGAGTCACTAGAGGGCGCCACCTTTGTTTCACTCCTCTCCTCTGAGAGGCCCTGTGAATTCTCACTGACTGATTGTCTGTCTGAGGCTTGTGAGGAACCCTCAGAGGTCAGAGCTCTGTTTGGACCCCCTGCCAGGAGGTCTGAGGAGACAGGAGGGTCTTCAGTTGGCGTGGAGGGCTCGCTGTCGTTGACCCTGTCTGCGTCGTGTAACAGACCCCTGGGAGTGTCATAGAGATACCGCAGGGATGTTGGCATGTGGTACTCATTTCCAGGAACGGCGGGGGGGCATGTGCACGGGCTCAGCTCCTGAGCCAAGTGAGGGGGCAGGCTGAAAACAGAGCCAAAGTCCTCTCCGGGGGCCGTGGTATCCAGGCTGCCCATGTACGAGGAGAAGCTGCCGGTGTACGAGGAGTGGCCGCCGCTCGCGATGCCGCTGTCCGAGGAACTCTGGCGGCCGATTTCCTGCAGCTGCCGGGGCGGCTTGGCTGAAAGTCTGCTCCCGCCTCCCTGGCTGGCGGGGAGCTTGTCGGCGAGCTGCAGCGCCGCTTTGGCGCCCACGTGGTTGACGCTTCCGGGAGGGTTGGAGGCGGATTCGGTCCAAATAGTGAGCTGGCTGCCGACGCTGCAGTCCGACTGGCTGGTGTCGGAAGTGTCAGAAGAGCCCGAGACGCTGTGGTTGTCTCCCCCAGCAGACGGGTAATACGAGGATGAGGCTGCAGAGAACAATCATATTCATTCCATCAATGAAGCAGATGATTGTGTCATCATATAAACCTGTGGGTCCCAACCGTGGACCCTGAGGAACACCATCCTGCATGTTTTAATTGTTCCCCTGGTCCAACACATTTGATACAGTGATTTAATTACTTCCTCGGGTTCTGCAGAAGCCTGGTAATCACCCGTTCATATCAGGTTTGTCAAAGCAGGAAACAACTAAAACATGCAGAATGGTGTTCCTCAAGGCCCAGTGTTAGGAACCACCACACTTGCTGTTCCTCAGTTGATTTTCTTTTGTGATATTCAGAATAAAACAAATAAATAAACTAGAGAAACCACATTTCCTGTGAACATGCTGTGAATGCTTATTGCTGAAGGGTTTTTGCTGAAAGCTGCTGAAAAGGTTTCATCACTAAACTGTTGATGTGAGTTGAATTTGAACAGCTGACGTTTGCTGAAAGCACGAGAATAAAAGCAGAAAGAAAAAGAAAAATACAAAAGAGGAATACAGCAGAAATTAGAGGAATATGTTAAATAGCAGAGACTGAAACTATTACAAAACTGAAAATTGAAAAATAAATTTTTTTTAAAGGCTTAAATTAAGTAGAAAGAGGCTAAAAAAACATAAAAAGTTGAAATAATTCAAAAGAATCACAAAAGGAAGAAATTAGTAAAAAATAAAGCAGAAATAAAGCTAAAACTGGCTGAAAATGCCTAAAATGTAGCCGAAGAAGCAGAAAAAAAAAAACTGAAAGAAGAAAAATAGCTGGAAAAAAACTGACATTATTAAAGAAGCTGAAAATAGCTGAACCAAAATAAAAGCTGAAATGAGCAGTAAAAGGTTTTAAACAACCCAAAGAGTTTGAAGGAGAAAAACACGTCTGACAAAGCTAAATATTTCAAAATGTAAAAATTTCACAAACGCCAAGTCAAAGTAGGAATGTCATGAATGAGCTGAACATTTTATTAATTGTTGAAATAACACAAAAAACATACGGGAGACAAATGTATCTCAATTGTGTGAATGATTTTGAAACATCAGCACAATAAAACTAATAAATTTAAATCAAACAGTTTTACTGCTGATGAAGCTCCATTAGGAGTGTTTTGGGAAAGTGGTGTAATAATCTGCTAACATGAAACGCAGGCAATCACGTAACTGACTCCATTTGTGTGCTGTTTGACTGTCTGTTAGCAAAATATCTCATAAACAAACGGACATATTTTAATGAAACATCATCTGGAGTCACACTAATTCAAGATGGCTGCCACAGCTAATTGACCTTAGCAAACAAGACTCACGATGAGCTAAAATTTGTTGTGGTAGTAGCTGAGAGTCACATACTTTAGGCACTTGCTTACAATATTATATAAGATCATGTGTGTCGTTCCATTTCTCAACAGAGATCTTAGTGTTAAACTTTAACAAAAAATTTAGTGGGTGATTTGTATTCTTTTAGGGAACTGTGTCTCTTTAGTTTTTCTTTATTTTACCTGTGCTGCTTCCATGGGAGAGCATGCTCAGTCGCTTCTCCAGCTCCTGGGCCTCGAGGTTCAGCTTCTCCTCCGAGTCCGTCTGGCTGAAACTGAGCTCTGCAATGAAGGACAGTTCAGATCTTTGAAAGTGTCTGTTGTGGAAAGGTTATGGACAATAATTGGTACGCCGATGTCCACCGACACCAATAGTGAATGTTTGTAGTTTTCAAAATGAGTGTTTTTCTGGGCTGGAATTGAACAGGGAATGTAAACCTTAATGGTTTTTGGTGCAACATATTCAAGTGAGTAGTAGTTACACTGAGAAGAAGAACAGAGGTAGTTTTTGTTTTTCATATCTGAGGTGATGCGGAGCGTCGAGTGGAGGGAACACTTCTATCCACCACCAGGCACAATGGCAGAGCCAGTGGGTGGCCAGTTTCATCCCACAGACCAAAAACATGCATGTTAGGATATATATATATATA